GGAATCATGCCTTCATGCCCTGTAACTTCACTGCCACCTCTCACCCTTCAACTTAAATACATCTTATAAACTAAGATATTTGGTGGCAGAAAGAGATACCTAGACCGCTTTGTACAAAGTCTACCTCCTACCAGTATCATTACAGTTAGGGCTATTCGGGTGACGACCTCGGTGGACTAGAGGTTTAGTACACCGCCTTATTTCCGATGGTCCCGGGTTCGATTCCTCGCACGGTACAAACATTTGCATGAATATGATTGTTTGTATCAGTCTGGGTGTTTTCTAAGTATAATATGTATGTATTTACAAAGAAATGTATTTATATCAGTAGTTGTAGTTAGCGCAGTGTGAATTTTCGTGAGATATTATAATATTATAATATTATTATAGTTACACGAAAAAGTAGCCATCTCAGCATTACGGATGAGTTATTCGGATGAAGCTACACACAAGTACCCTTGAGATGTCCCCTCCAAAACTCCTCCTACGCTATTTGTCTAAGCTAAGTGCCTTTAGCAGTTGCATAGGATATTGTTCTGAGCTTAGTACTAGGTATATGATGTCTCACATAACTTACACACATACTAGTATAATTATAGGGATTAATTTCAAGTGACAGTTGTTGTTTGTGTCCACAGTCAATTGTAGAATTTCGGTTATAGTGAATTAAATCTTTATGCTTCTTAAACAAAGTTCATTTTTATTGCGAGTATATTATTTACACATAGGTATGATCACTAACTAGCTTAACTTGCTATTTTATACCCACATTAGATTTTTGTCTGCAAACTGAATGGAATACATACTAAATTTTAATTAAAATATACCACAATGTTACACAATTAGTGAAACCGCATCCAAATCCGTTAAATGTTTTTGAAATTAGTATTCACAAAGGCACAGACAAAAATTGTAACTATTATTATTTTGGATTCTATTACCTTGATAAATTTCCCCAATATCGGTTTTATCATATATCACACATCACCTACATTTTTAATATATGTATAGAAGAATTGATAATGTATATTAATTAGTATGCAAAAGTGTTGATTATAGTCGAATATCCGCGGCATCTAATGATAAAAGTTGTTGGGAAGTATTATTTTTCAGTTCATTATCCTAGTTTTGTTAAGATAACCATTATCTTAACTAAACTAGGTAATTGTGTATAAAATAAGTACTTGACATCTCGGATAAAGGTTGTCACCTGTCACCTTAAATTCAAAACATTCCTAGCAAAATATGGACATGTCAAATATTGTATTCACCACGACATCCATGACAATTACAGTAGGTAAAGATGTACCTATGCCTCTGGAATTATCCTCTGTGTATAACTATAATATCAACTCCATCCAAGTTAAAAGTCGTGACGCAAAGTTTTTTTGTTCTTTAAATAGGGCCTGAATAACATTTTATTAACATCCTTATTGTTCTTTAAATAGGGCGCAAAGAACATTTTATTCACATCTTTATATAAATAATCAATAAATTAAATCAATCTTTCCATTTTGTAGTACGTTGAAAGGAAGGAAAACATTGTTATTTATTTTTATCGACAAATCGTTATAGAAGCTAAAGCGTGACGTAATCGTATCATCAAAAAGCTTTTTATCATTCGCCTACGCGATTCCGACAAGATTAAATCGATACATGGTATAATGGGAGTGATACAGCCCTAATTAAAAGACGTTGAGTTCAATACACAACATCGACAGATGTGATACGATACAATCCTAGTGTACGTGACGGCAGTTATCTAGGCTCTAGTTTAATTGAACACTGGCCACATGACCGCTTGTAGTTGTATCGCGGAGCAGACAAGTTACACAGAGAAGCTAGAAGCGTTTTATATTTATTCTTAAAATGATTATATATAATATAATAGTACAAAATTATAAAACTCGAATGCTTTTATTTTTAAATTAGAATAGGCGTGGTTCATTATTTTTTAAATTACACAATGAACTAAATATCCTTTTGACAACTGAAAGGAATTATTATAATAAAGTATTATAATACTATAATTAAATAGTTATTGTTACATTTAGATATTTCCTCCAACTGTTCGTTACAGTAGTATTACCCACTCCTCTAGCTGTACCACGTTACTTTGAGTTGACTGAAAGAGATCTCCTTTAGAGATAAATCTACTTTTGCTCCCATTGTTTCTAATTAGTATTCTTACTGTATGTAATAGTGCCGTAAATAAAATATAATATTTAAAACTGACGTAGATGTATTTACTTTTTTATTTAGAAGAATATAGTACAAGATGTCAACATACTCTTGAATGTTTGTATAGTGCCAACCTAAAACCGAGGGAGGAGCAGAATGGTTTATTTTATATTATTCGACATGATAAACGAAATATACACACAAGACAATATAACAAAAGTATTAAATGAATATAGAGAATATATAATATTACAAAAATATATTTTGTTAAATTCATTTTTTTTTTATTTTAATATTCCATATCAATAAGAAAAACTTATAGCTCGATCTGTACATACATCTACCATAAAGTTATTTTCATATAAACCGTCACATATAGTTACTAACCAGTTATAATCTTAACTATAACTTCCAGGTTTAGTACGCAATATGTGTGTAGTTTGAGTCTTAACTCTCAACACGAATTATTTAGTTTGGTCGTGACCACGGCCAGTGCAACGTAGTTAAAACTTTATTTACCATTAAATTATTCGTGTTAAGGCCTCAGAAACTTATTAATAATGTAAACTGTAGCAGTTTTGTAATTAGAACTGACAGGTTTCTAAACCGATATCAGTAATGCTATTATTGATTTATAAAAGACGATCTACTGTTAATCCTTCCTTGTTGGTTCGAATTGCGCCTTTTATTTAGGAGCTTGGTTTGCATAATTTTTACCCCTAATTATAACTCCTTCTAGATGATTACTTGAAATAAAAAAGTCTAGTCCGTATAATTTCCTTAAGCATGTACCGAATGTGAGTAGCCGAAATAAGAAGAAAATTTTGCAATTTAAAAGGAGCTTCCTCACGCATACTCTTTGAATATATAACTACCTGTGAAAATTTTCTCTAGAGACTACAGCATGGGGTTTTTCAAGAAAGGTATATTATTCTTATTAAGAAAGAAAGAAAGAAAGAAAGAAAGAAAGGGCTGGTAACACGCACATACATTCATGACACATCTGCTGTTTGAGACGTTCATAAACTATGGTAACTGTTTCCCATCAGATGGGCATTTTCCTTGATTGTCACCGTCATATAATAAAAAAATAGAATAAAATTCATCAGTATGCGTTTGGAGGACAAAGCAGTAGAAGAAAGAGAATTTCTTTGTAATTGTAGTGGTTAGTCCACACAAAGACACCAGTTAGCCATTTTTTATATAACTAAGGAGTAAATAAGCTTGTTGCACGCCTGATGATAAGACCCATCAGAACACTCATAACAACAAAGCCAAACAGTCACCAACTCACCTACCGTATTGCCTGCTATTCAAAGAATATACTGTTCTCTTATTGGTTTCAATGTCATATCTGATCCCATCAAGATCTGAGAAATGGGACGTCCAGACTTGGACGTGACTTATACAATTCGAGTTAAGAATACATTTTGAGTTAAGAAAGTTTTACAAGATCTTCAGTTTTTTCATAAGCCAACCTTTGTAACTATTTAAGACAACATATGGAGAAGGTGAGTGGAGTACTGGAGTCATTCTTAAAATATACATCTCTTTATGTTTATCTTCAGGAGAAAACCACTAAGATATTCGTATCATTATTTACATATACAATAATGACTTGTCAAAACGTCTCGCAGCTCAGTATTATTTTCAATATCTCACTATCATTAATTAAAAACATATTAACATTGAAATAAAACACATAATTGCCTGTCACTATAAAATTACATAGATAAAAGACCTTGAACGATTGTATACATGATAAGAAAATAATTTGACTCAGACGTTGTACAGGACCAACGAATGTTGACCTTTCTAAACTCCACATCGTCTCAATAAATCAATTCCTCACCATGATACTTCGAATACCTAAGAGATCTATTTAACTTACCATTTCAATATGACCAGTCGCAATACCAGAGAACCATGCATACAAAACTTTTTAATTACTTTCTGTCAATACACAGAGTAATAATCAATCAAGAAGTCAAAAAGATTGATGAATGAACCGGCAAAGTCAATTTAGTGGTGATGATATGTTTTGCCGTTTAATTTGACACTAAACACGTATGTGAGAGGTTTAAAAACCTTATCTTATGACCTCCATGTAAATTGAAAAATATTCGATCCATTATCACGTACTTATGGACATTTACCAAACTAGTCTTTGTGAAATACCCTCTGTTTCTGTAACTCTGTCTGATATATTGAACGTTTTAATTATAATAATACAGGAGAATTTTCACCGAGCCATTTAGCCTCATGCTAAGTAGAGTTTGTGTTATAGGTATACATAAATGCATTTTTTGTTTTTGTAAATGCATTCACCCAGCTCAATACAAATAATCATTATATAAATGTTTGTACTGTGCGAGCAATCGATCCCGTACCCTTCGGAGGTAAGGCGGTGCAGTGTACTAAACCACTAGACGACGGAAACGCCGTCAATTTAATTATCAAGAAACTATTTTTTTAAATTCTGTTTCGGTTCAAAGGGTGAGACTAGGCAGTAAAATTACACGGTACATAGGCAATAAACGCAATATTCGCAAGGTTTCCAAATTCGATAGGGTATAAATGTTTATGTTAGCTGTGGTATAAATTAATAAGGTGTTAAGAGTATAAAACGCTATGATATTTTATTTGTTATTAAATGTTAAGCTGCATCTGTATACCTTATATATACATAGTTGGTACTTCGTTACATTGCGACGCAAAGTCACAAGCAAATCTAGTTCAAAATAAATTGCTTCCAAAGTGGTAATTTGACGTGCCATCAGTCGAAACAATCACAGTTTATCAACACTCAAATCTCGCAGTTCGATCTGAATGCCCAATGGCACAATGAAGCCTTAAATAACGTCAGTGGATGTCGGTGCGGCGCCTCAGAGACGTCTAGAGGCGCAACTCTCGAATCGACTGGACTGACGGACAATACCACTACGTTGACTGCACCGCCAGTGGCATTCATTCAGCGGGTGCGCGGCGCGGCGCGGCGGGCCGACCAGACCGCATCCGCATTTACGGGTTATTCGACTGCGAAAAGATAGGTTCATTTAAATGAAACGGGTTAGAATAGAAATGTTAATACTAAGCTTGGATGAAAAGTTGAATGCTATTTCGAATATACACATGAAAGAGTCGTATCCTAGTCTAGCGGTCGACTATCTCGAGTTACGTACCTCAAAGACCTGCCAAAAAATAGGTAATTTATGTAAGATCTCAGTGTCTTTTCTGCAATTAATTTGCACTGTCGCTCACTGATTAACACATATTTTGTGGAAAGAGGTATAGAGTCTATTTTTAAAAGTAGCTTGAAATAGTATGCACCTTCATTACGTTTGAACTATCAAGTAATGATCCTAATATAACTTGGTAATGAGTAATTTGAAATAAATAAACTGACGTCTTTTGGTATTTAAATAAGTATACGTATAGTATACTACATATTATAGTATATATAGCATACAAAATTAAATACGATTACCAGTTTATATATGTATAAAACATATACATATATGTGTACATATATGTGTAACAAAAACAATGTACTGAATTTAATGGTATGTTGTGGTTGCATTACGCCGCCATCTTGTTACCAATTACTATGACATGTGAACGACGTAAGCTGTCGTAAAAGCAAATATATTAGAATTTACATTGAGCTTAGGTTGAAAATCCAAATATGAATTTTAACTGTCGTTGAAATATAATAAAATTATTTCACCATAAAATAACAGACCGGGACTTTGACGGTTCTCATTAACATTATTTATTTTATTTTATAGCTATTACTTAATCTATGGAGATTTGATAAACTATTGTATAATCTATTGTGTTTGATAATTTTATTTAGCAAGTGAACGATTTCTTTATGCTTTAATGAATAAAGACAACATAACATAACATTTTATCGTAATCACATTAAGAAACATTATTACATAAATAAATAAAAACTACAAAGGAAAGAAAGGTTTTGTTTAATGAATGCGTAAGTAAGTGTATTCCAGCTATATAATACGTTGTATGTGTTACGTATTGTTGTGAAAATGCAGGAATGGAAATTTGACATGAGAATTTGAAAGAGCTTTCACTCCGGTATATACATTCATTCACAAAAACCACCGATTATACAATTTTACTGCATAAATTCTAAAACAATATTACGCTTTTCATTTACAGGCTTATACTCAGCAAAATAAAATCATTTATTATTTTTTCACTTAATTACACTTTTTCTCCTAATTACAATACTATGCATACGGTTTATTGCGGTTTCTACGGTTCTACGAACACCTATGTAATTAGAAAGAAATGACATGATGTAATTTTGTAGAGATATTTTGGTAATTGGATTGACAATGATAAAACAGGGATAGTTTGTAGTTGAAATAGAACAGCACGAAATATTAGTTCTTGTCAATAAGATTTGTAAAATACTAATGTAAATACTTGACTAATAATATGTACCTTTCCGTCCCTCCACTTATTTAGAGTGAAACTTATTGTTACGCAGGAAATTTTTATTAAAAATGTAAATAAGGAGAATAGTTTTATAACAAAACACAAAGCAGTAGGCAAAGTGTGCTGTTAACAAGAAATGTCATGGAACAAAGCAACTGCTGTCTGACACTGCTGAGACGCGCGCTGTGATTACGCCCGCTGTCGCAACACCCTGAGATATTAGACTTGGTATGTCTCGGTGCAGTTGTTCGCAACCAATGAAATAAAGAACAGGAAATAGAGCATTACTTACTGGATGTACCAAGGAATTTATTTAAATTAAGCATTTATTTTTTAGGAGTGATAACCTCTCAATTGGAAATTATTTTTTTCGATGACAATGAAGATGAAGTCAGGTCAGTTTACCCATAGTAGCCAATTTACAATGGTTTCAAAGGGATCTCGTGGATGCTGACCCAACAGGACATTACTAGGAATGGGGTTACTAGTAATAAATACATTAAAAATCACCCCCCCCCCCCTCACACTACGATTGAAAGTTAAGATATTATTGTCACTATTAAAGCTAATAAATAGATTTTATTGTGTATACATATAATATATTATTACTTATTGGTTTGCGCTTGAATGAACAATCAAGAATAACAAACAACAAGAGTTGAAACGGTACACAAATGTATATATGTACATAATAAAATTTTTAACTACAGTAAAGTTATTTTAAAATAACTATAATTTTATTAATAGTACTAAAGTAACTGGCATTTTAATTTTTGTAAAATAGTATTTTAGGATAACCATAAAAAAACTTATTTAAATTATTACAGAACACTTTATTACATCTTTGACGATAGTCTTTCGCATTCCTTTGACTTTCAAAACATATCTTTTATTAATTGTACTGTTGCGTAATCCTTTTTATACCTATAATATACATATCCTATAGCCCGTAATGCCCCGTAGAAAATTGTTTTCAGTATTTTATATTTCTTATTGTTGGTATATTATAAGAAATTCCTATGCAAAATTTAATGATGCTGAACCTATTAGTCTCAGTTCTGCATCGATCAATCGACCAGCTTATTATTTTACATACGAGTAAACCTTTGGGCAATATAAAAATCCTTTGTAAATTATTCCTTTAAATCATAAATTAATTATATAGTTATAGTATATATAAGGAAATGAGATTTTTTTAATTGTTTGTTAGAGGCACATCCTCTAACAAAAATATAAAAAAATCTCATAGTATCCAAAAATCAATTTTAAAAAAATCTAATGATAATTCAAAATTTAATTATAGATTTTGAGATTACGCCTCTCGGCGTAAATCTATCGGTATAAATTCTACTCATAACAAGATTAATAAGTCTATAGGGATGATTTGTAAATCTTTGAGAAAATGACTTAATTAAATATCATAAAAGAATTTCTTACATGTATATCATATCCTAGATTAATATGCAATATTTTTTTCTATGAGATACAGATAGTTATGTAATATTATACCATTCATGGTTTACATCATTCTGATAAAAAATATCCGTGTATAAAACTTTGGAGTTTGCGATATCCCTCCATCTTCCACTTGCACGTTATCATTAATAACGTATATGTAATAGTTTTAAAATGTGAGCTTTAAATGACTTTATCTAAGTTGAAACCGCGTTTAAGTCTGTCTTTGTGTCCCTGACGGATTCATTTAACTGAATTTGTTCAAGGATAACAATGAAATATTAGGTAAGAGTGTAGGTTAGGTCTTTTGTTTGAAAACATTTGGGCAGAAACAGTTCATTTATTTAATTCAATAAGTAGATCGCTATTTCAATTTTAATACATATTTTGTTTGGTTTACGACTTAAATAATTTATTACAATTATTATTTTATGCAATTATAGTACCTGTTTTATTTAATAATCTACCATAATTTCTTTATTTTGTATATGTTAAATTGTTTAGTATTTAGTTTTATATTATTTTGTGTTCTCAGTATTTTAGATATATAATTTATACATACAAAAATATTCATCCTGTGTTTTTGTGACATTTTGATATACTAATAACAGCATAAAAGTTAACAATTAAAATTTGATAAACTACTTATTTGTCATCACACTTATTATTAAAATCTTTAAGGAAATAAAAGTGGCACATAGAAATAACGATCTCTGCAGACCATTCGTCCTCCGAGTATTTACTCCGGCCGACATTTTTTTTCCTTAAACAAAATTTATGAGCAAATATTTTGAAAGTCTATACATTAGTTAATGAATGCAGCGCTTGCCAATGTGTACGCTGCGTCTTCGAGAGCCTTATTCTGGTATTTCGATGTTTTTAATATTTCTTTATATTTTCAAGATTATAAAACTAACTGTGTAATTTAAAAGATTTGTCAACCAGTCTAAACATGTGATGATAAGTAACCAATAATCATTCTCAAGACGGGGGAGGGGGTTATTAGTAATGGGAAGTAGTGACTTTATTGCTAGCATGTCAAGTTGACCTCCACATGGAGGAGGATCCTTGTAAATCCTCTGGTGCACAGCGAGCACAACTGTTGGCGCAGGCGGGTGCACCGTTGGATTAAAATCCTTTAATACAACGTTCTCTAAAAGAAAGTTATAACATACAAAAGGATTCATTTTAAAACCGATTTCCCAGATTAACGCGATCAAACAAAACATAAACTCTATACTAGTATAAAGTATAAAAGGAATGATTATCAAAAATAAAGGTCAGAATGCTATTTAATAAATTAGTTGTACCTCGCATTACATATCTCATTAATTAAATAAAGTAAATACCTTAAATGTCACAATTATCCGGCAGATCCAAACATATGTAAATGTAACATTTTCAAAACTAACAATCCAAGATAATAAACATATGAGCATGGTTTTATTTTTGTGTCTTCTAGGTATTTTGATCTTGTTACTTTTGTGTGTAATATAATCGTCGTTTCGTGATCTTTGATATTTATTCATATGAACTGTCTAGCGTCTAGCCAGCGGCACTAGATGCCGATACTTCTAGAATAAAATAAAAGTAGCAGGGTGCAAGTGGTGTCTGTCTGCCAAAGCGAAATAGAATAGACAATACGGAATTTTTAACAGCAATGTTCAATTCAATATTGTACTCATGTGTACACTCGAATATTGCTCTTATTGAGTCTTTTTGTTTGTACTTCTGTAGAATTGGAATGGCGAAAAAGCTAACAGCCCACTTGATGCTAAGTGGTAACTATTATATATATATATATAAAGTACCACCAACATCATGAGTAGCACCTATCAAACAGCTTACAGCTAGAAGCTGCTTTACTGAAATAGCTGAGATTGAGGTTCCCATGCAAACTTTTTACAAAGTCTACCTGGGCAAAATATTATATTATTGAATGAGTGACATCGCCCAGGTGCTCATAACTTTGTGAGTTAATTTCATATTAACATAATATATACCCTATATCACTCTGTAAATAATATGTACAAATCAAAATCTACAAATTTTTATAACGAAGTCAAATATGTTTCAGTTTATTCATTAATGACATAAAAAATCATTTGTATAGTACAAATAATAATAATTT